AAATGCACACAGAAATAAAATATGTACCTTGTTTTTGGGATGGCAGAGTGAAGGAAAAGATACTTCCAAAGTTATAGCTGCATAGGTACAGAGCTAAAAAAAAAACAGTCTGCAAGGCTGTGAACTAGAGAGGGAGAGACCAGGATTAACTAGGAGATAACAAAATGCAAGCTGATTAGCTTGCTTAGTAAAACATCAAGACTATTAGCAAGGCGAGATGATAGTTAAAACCTGTAGAGTGAAGAATAATGAGCCATTAGTCACTTGACTCCCTCAGCTGCCTGACAAGAAATGGTAATGCTGGTGCTAAGCAGTTGGTTTTGGAGCTTTCCTGCTAGAGATACACACCCCAATTTTGGGAGGGCAGATTTTTAGGGTTTAAAAAAACTTGTTCTGCAAGGAAAAAGCAGTATATAATTGGTCTAACTATATGCAAATCTGGTTTCTTGCACGTCTCTTGGACCATCCTGGCTACACTACTGCTCTGATCCTAACCAGAAGCAGTGCCTCTGTATACATGCAGTGCTTTGGATGGGCTAATTAGTCTACCCTAGATTAATTAGCCTGCCTATTAGAAGGCAGCCTTTAGCATAATTGTTTATTTGTGTGCGTGTGCATATGTTCCTAAATGCTAACGTATTTTTGGTGGATTCCCTAGGTCTTTAAATGTGTTGAAACGGAGGGCATAGCTGTTATGAGTCTTGCAATGGCTTTTTTTCTGGCTGCCCTGGATTATAGAATTAAACAACTGGAGATATATATCATAACAATGGATGATGGGAATAAACAAAACACTAGGGACAGAGCAGCTCCCAATTTACTTGGAGCTTGGCCACTGAAAACAATTTCAGATATTGGCAATTTTACATAAACTCCAACACAGGCAGTCTGGCTCCAGAATGGCTGCAATCCTGAGGTTTCAAGAGCTTCAGAAACTTTCTCCATACAAGCGTTCCACTCCCCCCCCCCCCCCCCCCCCCCCCCCAATTTATAAAAAATGAGCATTTCAAGTTCAAAAATCCTAGCCAATGACCCTGCTAACTATTATTATACTAATTTGGCTCATTCATGTTCATTCATGAAACAAACAAAAAAAAAGAATTAATCCTTTAAGATCAAACTTCAACCATATTTTAATTATAAAGGTTCCAAATTAATCATTAGTACAATGTAGTATCTTTGCACATTCTTACCACCTAAATTACACTGAGGGGCATAAATTACGTTTGCATTGAAAGCTGGGCATTAGCACACCGTTAATAAAACACAGACGGAATCAGACTTTTGTGGGCTGGATCCAATCTCTTTACAGGTTGGATCCAGTCTGTGGGACACAGCTGCCAACACCTGCCCAAGGTCACTCAGCAGGTTAGTGAAAGAGCCGGCAAGCCACACTGTCATTTCCAAGCTACCATCATCCTTTTTAAGGTCTGGTCACCAGAACTCAACAGAACACTCCAGTAATGGCTTCACTAATGCTATAGACCAGGGGTGGGCAAAATATGGCCCGCAGGCTGTATCTGGCCCACAAGGCCATTCTATCTGGCCCGTGGGACCCCTAAAAATTTAGAAAATTAATTGATCTGTCCTTGGTTCCTGTAAAAAAAAAAAAAAAAAAAAAAAAAAAAAAAAAAAAAGAGAGAAACCAGGGGCAGTAGGACCCAGGGGAAGCCCGGCGGGCTCCTGCAACAGCAGGGACTGCCTGGCCCTGCCCCTGCCAGCCGGAAGCCACAGCAGGGGACCTGGGACCACGGCACCAGAAACTCAGGTAAGGGGGTTGGGGGAAGGGCAAGGAAGGAGTCTGGGGAAAAGTGGCCCCTCCCCCACCCCATGGCCAATGCTCCCTGCTGCAGCTGCTTACAGCCTGCGCAGGGCTGTCCTGAGCAGGCACAGGCAGTCCAACGCGGGTTACGAGCAGCTGCAGCGTGGGGCACCGCCCACAGGGTGGGCGAGGGGCCGCTTTTCCCACGCTCAGCACCAGCTTGTAACCCAGCCCTGCTGCCAGTCTTGGCCCCGTGCTGGCTCTGGGCTCACCTGTTGGGGCTGCGTGCAGCAGTTGCAGCCCCCCCCCACTTGCCACACCGGGCAGTGTTTGCTGCCACTGCCTGCTTGGAGCTTGCATGCCGGGCAGCCCAGAGGCAGTGAGGGGCCCAATCCTTTTTTTCCTTGGAGCCTGCCAGACTCTCCCATGGCTAAGGGGTGAGCTGCTGGTGGGCCTGAGCTGCACAATCCGGCAGCAGCTTGTGCAGGCAGGCTCCACTGAGAAAAAAAAAAAAAAAGAAAAAAGCAGCGTGGGGCCTTTTTTTTTCCTCTTGGAGCCTGCCTGCCTCTCTCATAGCTGGGGGTGAGCTGCCGGTGGGCCAAGCAGCCCCTGAGCTGCAGGGGACCCTGGTGCTTCCCTTTGTGGTGGTAGTGCCCCCCGGGACTGCCTAGGTAGGGTGCTATTGGGCAGGTGCTACCTGGGGAAGGGGCGCTGCTGCTTTGGAGGGAAAGTCTGGGGCCCCCGTATTTCAGAGCCCACTGGCAGCTTGCCTCCAGGCCATGGGAGAGGCGGGCAGGCTCCACTGGAAAAAAAGAAAAAGCGGGACCCTTGTCACTCCCTCCCCACAGAAGATCCTGTCTGTGCAAGCTGCCGCCAGGTTGTGCAGGCCCTGAGCTGCTGGGAAGGACTGGTGCTTCCTTCCATGACAACGGTGCCCCCCCAGCTTGCAGGCAGCACCCAGTCTGATCCAACGGTGCATGGGGCACTGGACACCTGGGTGTACTCGGGGAAGCTTGGGCTTGGCAGGCTTTCAGTGCCTCATGTACCATCATCCCCACTGCCTTCTCACTGCCTGGCACCGCTCGAGAATGGGCTGGCTTGCACCTAGGGCAGTGTGGGAAGGTGGCAGGAGGGTGGCTGCTTGTGCTGGCAGCTGTAGACGGCAGTGAAGATGGTGCACGGGGTGCTGGAAACCCTCCAAGTTGAGCTTCCCCAAATATGTCTGGGCTTCCAGCACCCTGTGCACCATCCCTGCCGCCTTCTCTAGATATATAACCGCTGCAATTTGTTACATAGCAAACTAAAATACATCTGATGCGTTTTACTTTGCTATGTAACCAAGTCATTTAAAACAACATACACCGCTGCGCATGCACAGCAGGACGAAATTAAAACGTAATACACCACTGCAGGTGTATATGGTGACTCCATTAAAATGGTACAAAAGGGAAATTAAATTGATTAAAAGGCCAATTTCATCACATGTACAAGTGCCCTAAAGCATTTGCGTTTGACATCTCACTAAATTATTTTTTCTCCACTTCAGCTAAAAACCAGATCTGAGGCACTGTAACTTCAGGGATAATGTTAAATTACTGTCTCTTTAAGCTCTCACAGTTTGAAGGCACAATAACACAACTTTGACAATGTGGAGCCAGATCACCACGTTGTTTGAATATAGCACATCTAATCCAAATCAATGGGGAATTCTGCTTAAAAAATGTTGTCCCAATGTCACCCATCTTTATACAGAGAATTGGTAATATTAAGAATTTGATACCAATGAACCAAGAACAATTCATGTAATAGTTTATTCACAAGTAAAAAAGTATTACAAAACAATTTACATGGTTGTAATTTACAGATTTAAAAAGTATGTCAAATGGCACTGGTGGTATTTGTTTTCTATTGGCATGTATAATATTGCTTGGCACAAGCAATATAAACACGACCAATCTGCTTAAATTAAGAAAAACTATGTTAAAAAAATATATACATAATATACAAATACTTGTAAAAAGCTATTCTGCATATTGAATTCTTTTAAAAATTTGCTCTCACTCATTTACAGGAAATTTATATATACACTATAGTTTCTTGCATACCACATGTCCCCAAATAAAACACACACCTTATTGTGGGAAGGCAGAATATAAAAAAGCTACTGACAATTCATTAGCAGCTGTGAAAGGGTTAACATAGGATACCACCTCTGCTTGCTTGCTGTCCCAGAGAGGAACAGTATTTTGTGCTGTATTTTGGGGCACAGCCCGGACACGAGTACACAAGATGCTGACTGTGCAGTAGTCGAATAATACTGAGCAGTAGTGTGTTATAGCACGGACTGTGCTAATATGTTACTGCACCGTAGTGTGACTTGAAAGATGTTTGCTGGTGATACTGTGCAGTAACCCCAGTTACTATGTACTTATTTAGTACTTGCTAATACAAGTACTAAAAAATGCGCATTAATGGTTGCACAGTAGTGTCTCATGTAGACACGCCCCCGTCCATGTTTCTAGTTCAGCAAAGAAGATCAGCTTCTCCACTTAAAGCACGTACCCCAATTTCTCGGACTGCTTTCTGGGCAAAAGGTGTGTGCATACGATGTATGAGTAAATATAGTAGTTGCTGGACAAAAATGATCATACAAAGTGAAAATTCCAATGGGAAACATACTTACTGGTGACAGATACTGGCAAAGTTTTTGATCATACCGTTTCACGGTATTCCTGACAGTTAAAATTTTAATCTCCGTACGTACTCTAGCAATATTTTGCAATATACTGAAATGCATATTGGATTTTTCTATTTATAAAGCGTATACAAAAACACCAAACATTTTCTTCAAGTAAAAAATGTTGGAAAGTAATATTTTGACATATTTATCTAACATAGAAAGGATGTGAAAATTAATTTTGCCTGAACTGCATATGTCTTTCAAAGTATTTAACAAATGAACACAAGCATGACTGTTTATTTAGTACAATAATAAGTCAATGAGTCAATAGTAGCATTTAATATTCAAATATTCAGAGGAAATTTCTTCACTAACCTTGGGCCATATTATGCAAGTGTCATTCATGATGAGTAGTAGCAGTTACTTGAACAACAAGTTCCACTGTTTTTTGGCAAAGCATCTTGTTATCTTTGCTTTTAGTACTGCATTTAATTCTTCTTTTACAGGCCCAAAATTCTGCTGATATGTCACCAGCAAAAGCATCTTTCCTTTAAGGAAAGAGAATATTGTATTAGTATGCAAACTGTTGTACAATTCATTTACAACAAGGAAGAAAATGTACCATGTATTTGCATCATTTTGCTGATAACTTGTATTTTGCTAAGAGCATACTGAATGCTTTATAAGAATTCATGATTTCAGAGCTAGATCCTGCCTAATGTAACACTTTAATGGAGTTCATTGGGACTCCTCCCAATAGGAAAAAAATAGTACCTCTGATAGAAGATTTTTACAGAACAAATGCCAGTATAAGACGCAATGTAATTTATAGATAAGAAATTATAGAGAAAGTGCCAGAGTTGCAGCCATAAGATAATAAGCTTACTCAGTTTGGGCATCTGTGTAGTTTTGTGGTTCAGATGAATGGTATTTTTAAACAACTGCTATCAAATCACTTTTGTGTGTAGTGAGGAAGGTGGAAAATTTCAGGAGATACTTACAGGAGGTGTTGGCATTGATGAAAAAGAAGTCTGTGTAGAATAAAAGGATTAGGTCACCATGGGTGCATACACATGTACTAGGTTTCTGACAGTTAAGTAACTTAACTTTTAAAGATTTATTTTATAAAAGATTATTAAAGATTTATTTGATTTATTTTAAATAAAGTTGATTTAACTGTCAGAGCATACACATATATGTGGAGCACAGTCAACTTAAATGCAGCACAAGGTAATATACCTCTAAGGTATATTATCTTGAGTCGCATTAGTTAAGTTGACTTTAAGTCGACTTAAACATGTGTGTATGCAAAGTTGACTTAACTTAGCCAGGGGCTACTGCAGGGGAGGGCTCACAAGATTGCTACCATTATGTCAAGGAACTATATGTGTGTATGTCCCGATGTGGCTTAAGTCAGCTTAGTCAAGTCAACTTAGTTAAGTCACCTTATTTTAAATCGACCCTATGATGTATTGTAGACTAACCTCTAAAAACTGTCCCCTGTTGGCAACCTTTCAGTGACTTTCAGCTGTGTGAATGCTTCATACTAAATCTACTGTAATTTGATATTGATATGAGAGTTCATTATTTCAATGTTATTATTTCAACATTTAGAGTCATATGATATAGCTACAAGTCCAATGTGCTGTGTACACCAAAGCTACGTCTAAATTAAGGCTAATCTTCTGGCATAAGAAAAAGGTGATTTTTAAGGGACTTCAAAAATACATATTATTGAGATATGCAAATTCCTTGATTCATTAAAGCAGCTTTTTAGCTAATGTGTAATACAATACAAGCTTCCATTTGCTAATGCATGATCCTTACATAAATAGAATTGTTTATTTTTTAACCCTTACATAAATATGTGAGTTAAGATTACAGCCAGCCAGGAAAAAAACCTAATGCAAGCTTAAATTTGCAAGCAGAATAACTGGCAAACTTTTGTCCCACACCATCTGACATCTGTAGCTATGTTTAACAGATCAGTCTAAACACGCTAATGTAATTCTATTTCTTATAGTATTTATACATAGCTGCAAGCTCAATCCATTATGTTTTTCAAACACCCATGAAGAACAGAAGATAGTTGTTTAGAAGAGCTGCAAAGTATCATGAATCCACCTTCAGTCTTCTCTCAAATTGCTCCTTGACGTTTCAACTTACAGCTGTTATGGCTCACATGCAACTGCCTAAAAGGTCTAAAATGCTGCCAATTTATTTCAGCTGTTTTTGAAACTAGGAAACATTGAGGACCAGGCCACTTTCTATTCACAAGCATTAGCAAAGAAAGACGAGGACAGCATGCAGTTCTAGTGCCAGTAGAAATATTTGTGGCTTCCTAGAGAAAGTGATAAAAGAGTAGTTACACTCTCATAAATACCATATGAAATCCTTTATTTTATATAAAACACTGAAAACATCTAACTTAATTCACTCTCATACTATAAAAAAAGAGAAAAAACCCTGAAACTGAACTGTCTTAAATTCAGTCTTGTCTAAATTTAATTATGCATACACATAATTCCAAAATATATTCAAAATTGTTCATCTTATATGAATTGCCTTTAGTCAAATTAGCATTTATTTTACATTTTGGTAAAAGAGGCCCCAGGGAAACACTGAAGCCCTCTTTTGTTCTGTGCTGTACATCCACATACTGAAAAAGCAGTCTGCCCCAAAGTGCCAGCAGGCCCTGGGCTTTCTAAACACAAAACAGTATCTTTGTTGGTACAACATCTGTTATTACAAACAATAACAGATCAAAGGAGTTTACACTCTATGACGCTGTATGACCTTTCACACTGAAAACATTCTGCAAACATCTATAATTAGACTTTCTTAAAATAAAGATGAAGTTTAGTAAGCAACAGTCTAACATACAATGATAAAATAGAAATATATTCTGTTAAAAGCTCTCTAGTAAGAGAACGTTACAATTGCATAAATAACCACATGACCGCTTTGTTATGGTGGAAATACACTTCTCAAATACTCAAAATGGATTTAAAATATGACAAATCTGAAATGTCTATTTCTTCTGAGAACATATTCACTTTAGCAATGCTCAGACACAGCCCAAGGATGGACAGAACCTTGCCATCTTTTACAATTCGATTATTTTTCTCAGTGAGGCTGGTGGACACCTGCATCTGCACTCTTTGTCTTTCTCAGGGTTCTTAATGTAAGCAGATGGGTGTACCACACAGATTTTGTTTCTTATTTACAGAAATGTATTTTACCTTTTTATCAGTCTATAGAAACATTAACAGTTCTGTCATGCCCTGTCATTGGCTGGTTTTCGGCAGCTGCTGAGTCCTGCATAAATGAAGCATCCATACATGTGCTATGTCTGGAACTTTCAATAGATTCTGCACACTTTTCAGAGTCAAAATTAGCTGAAATAAGTACATCACTTAGATCCTGCTCATTGTCTGAATCTATATTGACTGTGTTTTCAGCCTCTGGTTGGAAGGAATTTGTACTTCCTCCAGTCAGTTCTGGATAAGATTCACAGAAAGAGATACCATCACAAGAAGTAGGGTTTTTCATAAGAGGCCAAACATCTGACAGATCTCCACAGACAGTATGTGAAAGAGAACCAAGAAAGGCAGGAATCATTTCTCCAACAGAATTTGAAACCCTGCAATGAAATAAAAGGGACAGGTTCAAAATTTTGTCCAAAGTGTCAACTGTAAGTACTGAAATAAGAACAAGATTCTATTAAAATGCTACTCCAGAGATAGTATGTACAATCAAATGTTGCTATGGTGACATACCTGCGGCATCACGGGTTTTGCCCATGTATGTAGAGCATTACTACGGTGACATAGTGTCACGGGTAGACATGCCCAGTATCCCTCTACTTTGGACTTCACTGTGCAGCTAACCTTGCAAGTGGTATCTAACGTCAAAAAATGCTTTTTCTCTCTCTCATATTCAGCATACATAACATTAGAGCGGGGACAGGCTTTGGACTCCATTTCCCAGCTGCCACTGTGCATGGCTGGGGCCGGTCTCCATGGCGCTGCAGCTTCGTGGGAAAGCTCAAGGCTAGGGTTGCCATGGATACCAGCAACAGTCACGCTGGCAGCATGAGTGGCAGAGCAGGGCAGGGGGCTGGTCCAGAGCCAATGGGAACTTGTGATGGTGGCATCCCAAAAATATTAAAATGCTTTCCTGGTTCCAGAATACACACAAAATAACACTGAAACATCTTTACAGCTGGAGACCAGCAGCCAGTACACTGAACAGCAGCTGAAGAAAAGATAATTTTTGGCAAAGGGAATTGGGACAAACCCTGATTTGTATGGAAGTCACCATACAATCTTTCATGTCTGCATACAGTGGACATGAGCTCTAGGTTTTAAAGTCTAAACCAAAGACCCTGCACTAATTGCACGAAACTCATTTTGTTGATCTAAAAAGAATGAAGGGGTCGAGTCAACCTTGCCGACATTTAAACATATGCTTTCAGAAAGCTTAGTTTGTTTTTTTTAATACATCTGATGCTTATACCACTAAGCTATGTTGTATAAACAGCAGCTATTTAAAAGCCACATCTAAAATTTTAGCTACATTTGGCCACAAGAAGAAAACAGCTAGAAGCCAACTTGAGTCTAATATGGAAAATAATTGTGATAAAAAATCCAGCATTAAATCTACAGTTAGGAAATATTAGATAACATCAAAAGCTTTTTATTTTTACACACAGCATGGAATTTTTGACGCATGTCCCACTACTGTGTGTATATTCAACCAGACAAAATTGATTAGGAGTAAATAACTAGCTTAGAACTGTGGGACACATCAACATCACATTTTCCAATAGAAGGCATTTATACCTAAATCAAAAAACGATCTCATAGAATCTCAAAAATACTAGACTTGCTCCTCCAATTCTGGGAATAATTTAAAGTTTGTGAACTTATATAAAAAACTTGAGCTCATGGAAGTTAAAAGCTATGCTGCTGGCTCCTATAACTCTGGTTCCCTGCAAGAACTCCATTCCAGGAAACCAGTAACTGGAATGAGATCACACAAATCTTGCTAGTTCTGTAGCAAAGAGGGGAGGGCTATTAATTAGGACTGAGAGAGCAGGAACACTCATCTGTGTAGAAATGAAGACACTCTGTGAGGAAAGGTATAATTTTCTTTTACTAGTGCCCAATCTCAAGGCTTGAACGATGTAAATTTTTTCTTCTGTGTGAAAATGCAGTGCTTATTTCACTTTAATATACATTTTTTATGAATCTGTAAAAAGATCTGCCAGCAATTCTAATTCTTTATTCAGCTGCATCAGAACTGGTGTATCCTGTATGAATATTATTATTTGGCTCCCATGCAAAAGAGTTTGTGTTTGATACAAGTCTAAGGAACCAAGTTACCTTTCATGAAGTGTAGTCTGAGAGTGGAAAGTGCAACTGTGACTGCTGTGCTCTATGCTACAGGCTTCATCACAGCACAGTGATGGAATCAAATGAACCGGCCCTGCAAAATAAAAAAAATATTTTAATAGAAGTAAAACATCCTCGTTTATGTTATACCATAAACTTAAGATGTTTATTCTTTCAAAGGCAGTTTATTCTTTTCCCAATTTTATATTAGACTATGGATGCATGGTGGTGTGATCTATCATTGTAAAACAGGTCCTTTTATTCTTTGAAAATAGTGTTACTTTAAAAAGCCCAAACCTTCAGGAAAATGAAAACATTTGTGCCCTGTTGAGCTATCACATAACATAAAAAACATCACATAACACTCTTTTAATCTTTATAAGCTGATGCTTGCTTTTCATTGTCACATGTTTTAATGAGCAGTGAAGTACTTAGTGTTGCTGATATTAAAGTTTCATCCCTGGCACTGGAGCCGTCACCCTCTGAAAGTGAACAGGCAGCTGACAAGTCAGAACGTTCTCTCTCCCCAAACGTAGGCAGACATTGTATCATTTTCATTCACATTACATACTGCAAGACCAAAACAAGTAGAAACTTGGATTTTGTTAAAAAGTGAAGCATGAAGATTATCAGTTTGCCAATCAGACTTGTATGACACATGCCTGGTGAGGCACAGCTAAGATTATTTGTGGAGTAACAAGGCAGGGAACTGGGCTGGTGTATGGTGAGTAGTAATCTTGTGCTGATGCAGGCCAGTTGTGGACACACATTATGTTTGCAGCACTACAAATGTCCCTGTACTGCTATAAAAAGTGGGTGTACAAACATTCACATTGTTTGTGGCACTATAAAAATGTTACGAGTGTAACAAAAATGGTGCCAGAGCTACAGAAATGTTCCTGTTTGAAATGGAACGTTGCTGTAGCACTATTTTGTAGGGCCATGTAGTGCTATACAGTGTCTCAGACTACCAGCATCCCACAGTGCTCTGTTTTCCTTCCCCCTCCCCCTCTGGGAAAGCAGTGAAGGGAGAGTAGCTGGCACCCTGACAGCCTTCTTAGGCATGGTGGGCTATCACAGCACCCTGCTGGGACTCTGCTGCCACAATAGTGGGGACCAGAGCTGCTGCTCCTCACACAGGAACAGCAGCAAGACCTGGTGGTCCTTGGTGGCAGCAGAAGCAGAAGGAACAGCTGCCACTGCAGGGGTGTCAGTAAGAGCTGGCATCCCCATTGGCAGCAGTAGCAGCAATGAGAAAAGCTGCGGATGAAGGAACAGCCCTCTCCCTGCTGGGATGCAATGGAAGCTGTCAAATACAATCTTCAGCCACCCACAGGTCTGTCTCTGATAGCTGCTGCTGCAGGACAAGGACTAGGATCCAGTTGTGAAGCAGCAGCTGTCAATGACAGTCTGGCCTCTCCTGCCCAACAAGCAGTCCCTTATAGCTGGAGAGTGTACCACGTGGTGATAATGTCCCTGTTCCGATATCTGTTTACTACATCTGAATAACTAGGAATGTGCAAACTTTGAATGTAGTTTGAGATTAGAAGCACTATGAAAATGCTTAAATTGAGGCAGACAAATCACACACATGTATTTATCTCTCAAAGCATGAACTAAAACTCCTTTTTTAACGAGAAGCAGAAAAGAAACATGTATCTAAACACAAAAATTACTGAAGGAAACAACTGAAACAAAATAAGGAAAAGCTTGTCTAAACAGCTGCTTGGAAATTCTATCCCTCTAAAGAGATGGCCATATTCTTATAACCCACATAAGACTAACCCCAGTCCTACCTTAGAAACCAAGTATAACAACTAAAGGGCTAGATAAATGCTTATGATTCCATGTGTTCATGCTGCTTGGACTCCTGTTCTCCCAAAATTGCCGAAGACCTAACTTACCACATGTCTGTGATGGGACTCTTTGGCATTGGCAACATGTTCTGTGATCATATTCATTAAGCTGTGGTCTGTCAAAACATGACAGTTCAGAACCATTGTAATGAATATCTTGTGATCTCATAGACCCTTTGAATAAAATGGAGAAAAAAATGTATCAGTAAAAAATATCTTTTTCTACTCAGAGCTTCATTTCACATTCACAAGTTTCAGAGCCAGAAGTGACCATGATAATCTTGTGACCTGATTTCTTGCATAACAAATGATATTCTTGCATCAAGCCAAAGAAACTGTATTTTGAATAGAACCTCTTGAGAATACAACTGAATAGTTAGTCTAATCTCAGTATTAAAAAAAAAACCAAAACCAAACCCTGTGACATATTTCTAATGTAACTTTTCCTGGCTTCAGCTGATGGAACGTACTTGTTTATCTTTGTTAAATTAAATTAAATTAAATTAAATAGCCCTCTACCACCAGTAGTATTCATTTAATCTATGTACATAATAATCAAGACCAAGTCACCTCTCTTACCCTGGTAAGCTAGATGAACTAGTCTTTAAGATCTCATTTGGGACATTTCCCCAGTCCTGAACAATTCTTATAGCTCTTCTATGAACCTTCTTCAATTTTTCAAGTCTAGTAGTCTCACCCATTCCATATACAGAGGCAAAATCATCTTCCTTTTCCTACTTAGCATTTCCCTCTTTAGACATCCAAGACTCATCTTATGTCATTAGGGTATTTTAATTAAAGATAACTTTTAAGATGTAAAGAAAACACAGTGTTTTTATTTTAATTTAAATGAAGGGCAAGAAAATGTTAATTTAATTTTAAGATACCTGAAAGTTATGTTGAAGAACTGTTGACACAGCTGCTAAATACAAAAAACTCTGATTTGTCTTTCATTTATCTTATTAAGTTAAAAATATTACTTTAAAGTAACAATTCTATCATTGTGTCTCTTGTATTAGCTTAAGCAGGTTTACATTTACATTTTAATGCCCAATGTTCTGATTGTGCAAAGAGTTTGCCTTGGAGTAAGGTTATGCACAAATTAATAACGTCTTGTACAATACTGTAGTTTCTAGATGAATATTATTAGTTGGAAACTTACAGCTTGGCTTTTTTTCCATAAATTGTCTCTTACAGTAGATAATACAAAGGATGAGAAGAGCTAAGAGGACTGTAGCCAGTGCACTACATATAACAGCTGCTAGAGCAGTGTCCCGAGGACTGGAAGCAGTTGATGGGATTTTCACAAGATTCACTTTAGTGGTACCTAAAACATATTTAAATACATGGTTAAGATATTGTCACTATTCTAGGGATATTAATTCAGGTAAATGGAAAATTCTGCAATATAACTAGAAATGGTCTTAGCAAAGAGAAAAAAGAACATTCTATCTTGCAATTTATACATACTTTTAAGACCGTTTATTCTCAATTATCTTAGTATAAACCACGTGGTATTAAACAGTATAGTGTACATAGAGTACAATGTGCTAAACAGATGTAGAATGAACTGTGACTACAAACACGGAAACATTAGGCCTGTGCGAATAGGGATTTGATTCAGATTTGGCTGATTTGGAGGACAGTGATTCGATTCGGAGATTTGAATCACTGTCCTGAATCGATTTGACTGAATCAGCTTTGGAAGATTTGGCGCTAATTAGGAGAGATTCGGTGATTCAGATCAGCCAGGGAGAGGCAGGCACAGCCAGGGGTGTGGGATGTGGGTGCAGCAGTGCTGGAGCAGGGGCTATGACTTTGTTCCCTTCTGCCCGGAGCAAGCTGCATCTGCATCTTGCCCTCCCTCCCGCCCTGGCTGTGCAAGCGGCAGCAGGGCAGAGCCCCCGCTCCCAGTGCTGCTGTGCCCATATCCTGCACCTCCCTGCCCTCCTCCCCAAGTAACATGACCCCCACCCCGGCTCTGATCCCTCCCTCCCCTACACCCCTTCCTTTCTCGCTCCCCCAACCCCAACAGACCTACCAGCTAGAAGCGGCTGTCAGCTGCCTGTTTAGTCTATGGCCGAATCTCTGAATTGGGTATATCATTTTCGGAAGCTTTTCCGAATCGATTCGGAGCTTTTACTTGGTCTCCCAATTTGATTCGAATTTGGAGATTCGGTTCCTGAATCGGGCCGAATCTCCTCCAAATTGAATCAGCTACTGAAGCTTTGCACAGCCCTAGAAAACACCTTAACTGTCAGTGAAGACTGAGCCAGGAACTTTATCACCAAAATATAGACTAGGGACAAGCATTCAATACAAGTTCTTCAAATGTATGGAAAACTTACAGCACTGGAAAACATAGAGGGGAAGATGTGCAGGCATTCCAGCCCTCTGGTTGGAGAGCAACAAAGTCACCTCAGAAGGGAGCTCTATAGACAAAGGGTGATAGGGAGTTATTCCTTTGCTCTCTTGCCTCCATGGCTGGCAAGCTGTTTTCATCTGCTGCCATGGTGGGGGACAGGGGAGAGGTAGCTTCTGACCACCTGGGGAGGGACTGTGACCAGTCCCAGACAGCCAACCAGTGCTGTGTTTAGCCTGCAGCTGCCTGGAGAGGGGAGGATGGGGGACATGCTGTCCACTCTCTTCCCATTCTTGCAGGCAAACCCAGCTGCTCTGCTGAGACCCTAACTGGTCCCAGAGCTGCAACCAGGGCTGTCAAACATGGCCCACAGCCTCTGGCAGAGTGGGGATGTGGCATGGGATGTGGCAACCCCTCACCCCTGCAGATGAATTGGGGCTGAGTTCACAGCCTTGGCTGCTGCTGCCCTGGACTTGTCTATCACTGTCACCCTGGTTCTGTGTAAAGGGTATGGGAGCAGAGGTTGCGGGGCTCAAACTGTCCCAGGAGATTTTGAGTCATGGAGGAACGTTCCCCTCCCTACATAGTCTTGCCAACCAAGTGGGTCCTGATGAGCGTAGGGGGAGACCCCAAAGGAAATACAGAGCTGTTAGAGTTAGTGGTAGAAAATATTCTCTCTGGAGAAGTTCTTGGTTGGAAATGCTATTATTTTTTTTGTGGCACAGCTTGCTTTCTTCTATGAAAAGACCCTTTAATGCCTGCACACTTGTTTTTGTGAAGAAAGACATTTCACCCAGCACAAATGTGACACCTCGTTAAAAAAGCTCCTCCTCGTTAGTATAGTGATAAGTATCCCCGCCTGTCACGCGGGAGCCGGGGTTCGATTCCCCGACGGGGAGAGCATGTGCATTTTATAGGCTGTACAGCAAGGACAGGGTGGGGAAGAAAGGGGGAGGGGTTGCGCGCTATGTCAATGAGCAATATACATCGACCCTCATCAAGACGGAATCGAAGAATGAGGAAGTAGAAGGATTGTGGGTTAGGTTACATGGGGGGGAAAGAGAAAGGGATTTGGTGGTAGGGGTCTGCTACAGACCCCCACACCAAGGGGAAGAACTAGATTCGGGGCTCCTAAGGCAGCTCTCGGAGACCATAAAAGCTAAGGAGGCAGTAGTCATGGGGGACCTAAACTACCCAGACATTTGCTGGGAGATGCAG